TACTGTATCTCTGACAGAGAATATTGCCATATGAAATATTAAAGGAAGTCATCTTTTACATCATCATTGGTAAAAAAAAAAAAAAACAAAGATATTTGATTATCTAATCTTGTATAGGTTAAGCCACATTAGGACAAATGTTAAATCATAATATAATTATACTAATCTGCTATGTATGATATAATAAGTATCAAAGGCAAGGCTCCTCACCCCAGGATTGAGAAACTTGTCCAGACTTTTGTGCAGCAAGGCTTGGTTGGAGTGGTTGCCCAGACAGAACATCTGCAAGAACTTGTGAGCAAGACGCATGATCTCATGCATGCGTGTGTCTGCACTCTGGAAAACACAAATACGGCATATGAGTTTTTAATCTCCGAATTAACTTATCTTTTAATTTCAAACCACTCTTTTTGTTTTAATCATGTACTTTCATGAAATAAAATGAACTGAAGTTTGCTGAGTAAACAAAGACAGCCTGGAGGACAAAAACAAGTAAGCAGATGATGGAAAGGGAATCCAAATATTTCATCAACATCATGATAAACCATTTATTAATGGAAGACACTTATTTCCTGGGTGGTATGTTCTACCTTCTCATAGGATATGTTCTACCTTCTCAAAGGCTATGTTCTACCTTCTCATAGGATATGTTCTACCTTCTCTTAAGTATGTTCTACCTTCTCATAGGATATCAGGCCCGTATTCAGGGGGGGTTTCAGGGGGTTCGAAAGAACTGCCCCTTTTGCTGGGAAAAGGTCCACTCTGGGTAAAATTTGCTCTAGGTACTTGAAGTTTTTATGGAAAAAGGTCCACTTTTTCAGAAAAAGAACCCCCCTTTTAAAATTGCTGGCTACTGGCCTGGATATGGTCTACCTTTTCTTAGGATATGTTCTACCTTCTCTTAGGATATGTTCTACCTTCTCTTAGGATATGTTATACCTTCTCATAGGATATGTTCTACCTTCTCATAGGATATGTTCTACCTCCTCACAGAATATGTTCTACCTTCTCTTAAATATGTTCTACCTTCTCGTAGGATATGTTCTACCTTCTCATAGGATATGTTCTACCTTCTCATAGGATATGTTCTACCTTCTCTTGGGGTATGTTCTACCTTCTTATAGGATATGTTCTACTTTCTCTTGAGGTATGTTCTATCTTCTCATAGGATATGTTCTACCTTCTCTTAAGTATGTTCTACCTTCTCATAGGATATCAGGCCCTTATTCAGGGGGGAACAGGGGGTTCAAAAGAACTGCCCCTTTTGCTAGGAAAAGGTCCACTATGGGTAAAATTTGCTCTAGGTACTTGAAGTTTTTATGGAAAAAGGTCCACTTTTTCAGAAAAAGAACCCCCCTTTTAAAATTGCTGGCTACTGGCCTGGATATGTTCTACCTTCTCTTAGGATATGTTCTACCTTCTCTTAGGATATGTTCTACCTTCTCATAGGATATGTTCTACCTCCTCACAGGATATGTTCTACCTTCTCTTAAGTATGTTCTACCTTCTCTTAAGTATGTTCTACCTTCTCGTAGGATATGTTCTACCTTCTCATAGGATATGTTCTACCTTCTCTTGGGGTATGTTCTACCTTCTTATAGGATATGTTCTACTTTCTCTTGGGGTATGTTCTACCTTCTCATAGGATATGTTCTACCTTCTCGTAGGATATGTTCTACCTTCTCATAGGATATGTTCTACCTTTTCTTAGGATATGTTCTACCTTCTCGTAGGATATGTTCTACCTTCTCTTGGGGTATGTTCTACCTTCTCATAGGATATGTTCTACCTTCTCATAGGATATGTTCTACCTTTTCTTAGGATATGTTCTACCTTCTCATTGGATATGTTCTACCTTCTCATAGGATATGTTCTACCTTCTCTTGGGGTATGTTCTACCTTCTTATAGGATATGTTCTACTTTCTCTTGGGGTATGTTCTACCTTCTCATAGGATATGTTCTACCTTCTCTTAGGATATGTTCTACCTTCTCACAGGATATGTTCTACCTTCTCTTAGGTATATTAAACCTTCTCATAGGATATGTTCTACTTTCTCTTAGGTATATTAAACCTTCTTTTAGGGTATGTTCTACCTTCTCTTAGGGTATGTTCTACCTTCTCATGGGGTATGTTCTACCTTCTCTTGGGGTATGTTCTACCTTCTCTTGGGGTATGTTCTACCTTCTCTCGGGGTATGTTTTACCTTCTTACAGGATATGTTCTACCTTCTCATAGGATATGTTCTACCTTCTCATATGTTCTACCTTCTTATAGGATATGTTATACCTTCTCATAGGATATGTTCTACCTTCTCATAGGATATGTTCTACCTTCTCATAGGATATGTTCTACCTTCTTATAGGATATGTTCTACCTTCTCATAGGGGATATCCAGGAGATCCAGAACCACAGTGTGGGCACCCATGTTACGCAGCAGCCTCTGTTCATGTTTCTTTGGTTTTGGACCTTGTACAGAGGCCTGGACACACAGCTTTGTTAGACGTCTGATAATCTGGATGGCAAAAACAAAGACATCAGAAGAAAAAGACTTTTATTAAGTTGTACAAAACGACTGGTTTTCATCTAACAACAACATCCTTCATACAGCAACTCCACAAAGATGTTTTGTGTTCCATTTTTCCTTTTCTTAAACCTTACAAAAGCTTCATATTAATCCATGAACTGGGCATGTATTTCTCACATCAGTAGATACAGATATTAAAACAACTGAGGTGCCTTATCTCACAGTGGCTAAATATGGCAGCTCAGCAGATACCCACCTCCTTGATGGTCTTGTAGTTGTGGGAGGCACTGGAGTCAATGGGAGGACCTATGTCTAGATCAATGGCAGAACCCTTCTCATGAGCCAAACCCTACACAAAGTGGAATGTCATATCATCAAACAAACATTGTTTAATAATCCACTTTTCTGAACTAAGTATGAGCTATGGTATTAAAATCAATGCCATGCTCTGTAAAGAAGTTACATAACTGGTCTCAATTTTTAATATGCCATAAAAAGGACATTTCAGGGTCACCTGTATACATGCTCCAGCAATATAGGTCTTTGGACCAACCCAACTTTTAAAAAATTTAAATATATCAAAACAAGCACAAAGGTATTACTATTATATATCTGTTTCCTACCAAACTAGGTGTTTTCTTCTCATCTTTTTTCTCCTTAGACTCTCCACTGCCTTTCTCCTCCTAAAACATCAGAAAACAACAAGTAATACAGAGAACTACAGCTGAATCCGTTTCTGCAGATAGTATTATTTACAACATAACAACTCCAGCCTTGCCCTGAGCTAGAATGTACTTCTCCACTATATTCTGAACACAGGGGAAGGGTACAACATAACAACTCCAGCCTTGCCCTGAGCTAGAATGCACTTCTCCACTATATTCTGAACACAGGGGAAGGGTACAACATGACAACTCCAGCCTTGCCCTGAGCTAGAATGTACTTCTCCACTATATTCTGAACACAGGGGAAGGGAAATTATACAACAGAACTGTTATGTAGCCTAAAATGTTGATTTATCACTTGACTGACAGAAAGTTTTGGTCACAGGGAAGGTGCCCTTGAACCATGGTTTCACAGCTTATTAATATGAGTCCATACTGAACCTGAGAGTCCTCAGAGGGTCCAGACCCCTTGCCTTTCTTCTTCTTCTTACTGGAAGTTGTGCTATGAGAACCAGCATCATCATCATCATTCTGCTTGGTCTTGTACACCCAAAGCTCAGATTTCTCCACCAGGAGGCGCAGTTCATCAAGGTCTGTCTTGATCTGCTTGTAGTTCTCTACATCCCCTGCTGAGACCAGGAGCTGGACCTGGGGGGCAAAGGTCAGAGGTCAACCAACAATTACAACAAAATGCTACATAACAATCAGATGCAGTGTTAAATTTCACTTACTTTTTTCCTCCTCTTTTTCCAGAGCTGAAATGTTATAAGTGAAGTATAAACCCAATTCTTACCTGTTTAAAGGCTTGCAGGACCTCCTGTCTCTGGCTGAAGTGTCTGAAGAGCAGCTGGAGGGACCCTGACACCAGGGACGGGTAGTTGTGCATCACCAAGTTGAGAAGGACTCTTAGGAACATACGGCCACCTTGACCATCCAGGTCCAGCTCTGCTGCCTCAGCACTGAAACCAGGTCACAAACAACACATTGTTTATATGATAACACTGGAATCATGACTGAACCCAAACCTACTCCAAATCACAAATTACTTTTGGTTTAAGATGAAAATAAACCACAGATATGATTATTGGTTGGATAAAATGTAAAAGATCAATTGCAAACTGATTATTTAAGTCTGCATATGATAGATTATGCAAAAATAACAAGAGGATTAAAATCACAGTAAGTTTTTAAGCATTTTAAGTTTTTTTCATTGAATGATAAAATGTCCCCCGTCTGCTTATGTAATACAGCCTCATGGGGAGTGACGCATTGTGGGCTGATCTAGATGCACATCTTATAAACAAACATGTCATCATTAGTAGTAGACTTCTATTTTATTTTCACCATAATAAATATGATTTCAACTTCTAAACTACAGTACTGTGCCACTGACCTCCCTCCAAAGATGTCTTCAGCCTGTGTCCCAATGGTCTCCAGGTCCAACCCTAAACAAATACAGACTGGCATTATGTCATGAATACCACCTGGCTTCTTAACATGGCATTTACAATATTGTCATCAGACAATGGCCTGTAGACTGATAAATCCTACTAGTATATCAGACTTTTATACAAATATATTAATATTGAGGGATATTCTTTAGGTAACTCTGCTATTAATAATTTAAAACACTCACATACATACGTAGTACTTTTCTGATAAATTGCTGAAAGACATTTCTCAAAAAAAAAAAAATGACAAGTAGAACATATTTGAATGGCTATGTCTTTTAGTAAATATACCAACTCACAGCATTGTGTTCTTACAAACTGTTAAAGTGACCATATAAAAGGATAACAGGAATGCAGATTTAGTCTCTACCACTTCAGTTTAGGAAAGCCAAACATTTGTAGTCAGAATTAAAGTAAGTTTGGTTAAACACTCAAGGCAGAGAGTCACAGTTGACACGTATAACATCAGAGAGACTACAAGGTACTACTTCACTTCAGGATAACAGAACAAAGTGAGGAGATACAAGGCAATGTTATTTTCAAACATCTGAAGGACAACAAACTTAGCTTGTAAATGAAGCTAGCATCTTAGAATGTTTAGTAATAGGAAATGTTCATCAGTACAGAGTTCTGGATAAAGGTTAGGCAAGCTTAGAATGTTTCCTGCTAAGACTGAGATTGTACATGTACATCAAGAAACAGACTTCATGAAGAACTGAGGGTCGGAAACAGTATTTTGTACTTGAAACTTATTTCTCAAATTCTAATATGTTCTTGAATTTGGACTTAACAACAAATGTAGCATGCAAGAAAAAATCTGACAGCACTTTTAATACATTTATATCATTCCTTTTAAATTATACACAAATTAAACTTTAATACTTTAAATTATATACTTCACCACATACTTCACATGGCAACATAATTTAAACTTTAATACTTTCCATGCTCCAAACCCCTACAAGAAGACAAATCATTCAACCCTAGCAATTATTGCATTTTGTCCAATTTTTTTTTTCTGTTTGTTTTCTTTCATTTTATTCCAATTTTCTTCACAGTTATATTTTCATTTGGTATCAAATGGCTTTCAGTAGTCAAAAGATCTTGTACAATGTACATTTCCTCAATAAACAAAATGACATATATATATATATATATATATATATATATACAGGAGACTGTGAANGCCCCATACAACTAATCTGTCGCACAGGGGATTTTTACTGAGGCGCCAATATATCGTTCTAAGGGTGTTATACATGTAGTTTCTTTATCAAACGCCTGAATGCAAATGCGTGATTTTTTTTTTTTTTTTTTTTTTTTTTTTTTTTTTGTTTTGTTTTTCTGTTTGTTTTCTTTCATTTTATTCCAATTTTCTTCAAAGTTATATTTTCATTTGGTATCAAATGGCTTTCAGTAGTCAAAAGATCTTGTACAATGTACATTTCCTCAATAAACAAAATGACATATATATATATATATATATATATATATATACAGGAGACTGTGAAAGAGTGAAAGAAAAACAAAAAGCAGTCTTTACAAATCCTCAGTTGAGTTGAAACATGTAAAATAAGTATGGGGTGAATTTGTTATTCTTAAGAAAATGAATACTAACTGTTTGGGTGAGCAGCCATAACTAAGGGTACCAACATGAAGTTTGCACCTTACTGAAGTGATGATCAGGGATGTCAGATTTCCACCAGGTCACCAAGGTCTTTTAACCAGCTTTATTTGGGCAAATTATTTCCAGGTAGTAACACATCAAAGAATGCAACTGAGTTTTGTTGGATATATAATGTGGTAAACATCCCAATTGTACAAACTAAGAACCAGGTGGTCTTTTCTTCTCTCTGTACTGACATTAGGTCTAATAGTACTATTAATATAGAAGCTTTCACTGAGAAATGAGTTAAAAATAGTGAAATAGATGTTAAGGATGATAAAAGGCAAACTTCTTTCTTCATCATAGTCTTTTCACGGTCTTTTCCATTTTGTAAATCTCAAACAACCCTTGCTTTTTTAATTGACATGTTTCATGTACTCAGACATAATCTGACCAGATGGCATTGCCCTGCTGCTTACATGCCCTAAACAGTTTCTGAGTCTCTCAGTGAAAGAGAACCCCACCTGAACTAATCTATAGAGGGTGACCCAATGGAAAGAGAACCCCACCTGAGTTCATCCATGGAGAGTGACCCAATTGAAAGAGAACCCCACCTGGGCTCATCCATGGAAGGCTGACCCAATGGAAAGAGAACCCCACCTGAACTCACCTATGGAGAGTGACCCAATTGAAAGAGAACCCCACCTGGGCTCATCCATGGAAGGCTGACCCAATGGAAAGAGAACCCCACCTGAACTCATCTATGGAGAGTGACCCAAT